AAAAAAAAAAAAAAAAAAAAAAAAAAAAAAAAAAAAAAAACCAATAGCCTATACTAAATTTATATTATATACTTGGTGTACATTTTAAATTAAAAAAAAATAAGAAATACTTATAATAATTAATAACTTTGTAAGATACATATATATTATATATCCCCAGATGCAGACGTTGACGAAGGTAGCTCCAAAAACGAAATGCCAAGGAAGGACGGCTGTCATAGCATTACCCTCAAAGATTCCGGTCTTTTCAAGGACCTTCTCCTTTAACTTTTAAGCCTCTACCAATCAAATTAACAATACCACCCTTTTTATGTTTTTTATGCTAAATATTATATTTTAATTATTCTCCTTCTATACTCATTATACAAATTCTTTTATAACTATATTCACCCCAGTCTCAACATCAATTATGTTTAAACTTGTCATTTAGTGTCTTGTTCCCTTGTTCATCCCAAAATAATTTAAATAAGAGGCTCTCCCCTTCTCTTGGATTTTATTCTTCATGTGTGAATTATGAAGTGAGAAATGTATATTCTTTTGCTTTTACTTGTCATACAATAATCTACCGTTTTAATCTTATAATACTTTTATTTTTAACCTAATTTATTTCCTCTAATCACTAGACTAATATTTTAATGATTTATGATGAAGTAGTTCAATGATTAGATAAATATTTAATCACATCATTTTCTTTTGTAAGCAATTGAATTTGTTTGTATAAGTTGCATATGATTAGAGAATTCAATCGAATTGACATTTGAAAAAAAAAATAAATGAACCTCGTGAAAATGGATTTTTTTCCACCTTAAATACAAAAGATATATGAGATGAAAAAAATGAAATCTATAAATTTATATCGAGAAATGTTACTTATAAAAGCTTTCTAACACATCTTTTAAGCATATTATTTTTTATAAACTGAAATTCATTGAATAGGAAATTATAAGTGTAATTTATTAAGTAAGGAAAAAACTCATATTATAATTGGGATTTTTAATAAATTTTAATTAATTACAAATTGTTATCTGAAAAAGTGCGTTGTTATTTTTCTTTTTCTAAATTTTTTAGCCTCTCCGTATATATCTAATGAAGTTAAAAGAAATGCAGAAGGAGAAAAACAATAGCACCTTGCTGAAAAAGAAAGAAAACTCTCCTTACAAAGTTTATTACCCCCTCCCCCAGTAATGCAAATGTAATACAATGCTTCTTCTTTCTATAAGGATATAAAATGTAAGCAGTCTATATTATGTATAATTCACACAACAATGTTATTCTTACCATAACAAAATCACATGATGTGGTCTATCTGTTTCTTACAAGTAGTACACTTTTGGAAAACTCTAATTTTATACATAACCATCAAATTATGGGCTTGGAGAGGTCTTGGAAGTGAAGAAGGAATTGTTGGCCCCTTCAGAAACACAAACCTCACCATCTTTATGACTATTTTTTGTTTCATCAGTGGCTGAATTCTGAGTATTCAAGAGGTTATTACTTGTCTTTTGCTGCTGGTCAAACATTTTCTTCAGTTCCCTGCCTTGTTCCTCAATTCGCAACTGTAATTTTCTCTGAATCTGGATCAAGAAATTAAGTTGAATGAAAGCCTTAAGTTAGGATTTAGGAAAGAGTGTCATAAGATTCCAAATATTCCAACTCATTCACATCATTTTAGTATCCAATTTCTTCAGTATTTTTTCAACCAATAACTGCCTAACTCTTAACACATTTTAGCACATGATAGTGCAATTTCACATCACTATCCATGCCAAAAGAAAACTAGATTGCATGAGAAATTCAAATAAGATTACAAGCTAAGTGTTGTGTATGTCTTAAATTAGAAGAATCCCAAACTTCAAATAGGCAAAGATGTCTTAAAGCCTTTAAATATATCATATTTTCCTTGTAAAAGTGATGCATCGTTTTAGAAGTTGTAGTTAGAGTTTGAGCAAGTGAGACTATTAGACTTCATTGTTCTTCTGTGATGAAATCTCTGCATCATAACTTCCACGCAAAGTTGGTTACAGTTAAAAAAGTGAAATTCAATGCGCAAGGGTCAAGAACCTTTCATTTGGTTTGATCAATACTGAAGCTTTTTATAAGAGGTGGGGAAGGGTCACATAAATTAAGTACAATTACAATGTAAGAACATTAAAGATTTGGAGAACGTGGAAATATAATAGCATAAAGAAAAGTAGCAAGAGAAAATGATAACAAGGATATACCTCTAGTTGTTCATGAAGACACCTTTGAGCATCTAATTGCAGCTTAAGTGCCTCTCTAATTTGTAAGCCACTGCAAATCAAGAGCAGTGTAAATTTAGTAGATTTATAAGGTAACAACTAACAACACATGAAATTAATATGAAATGAACTAAGCAATTTAATAGAAGCACTAAAATATAGAAATATAACAGTGGCATAGGCAAAAGAAGTAGCATTACGTTTTTATATCAAGATGATGCACATCCTTTGTGTGGGCTCTTTTGTCAGATTTCCCTGTAACAGGACAAATTTTAGGTTCAGTATGGGGAGTGAACCTGATAATTTGAAAGAATTTGAAGTTTTGAATAACTGGAGAGAACAATAAAGCAACAGAGAACGTTGGTAGTTTGACTAAGGTTGCTATCATCAAGAAGAGAGAGTAAACTAAATTGTCATTTAGTGGCTCAAATTTTCTGCCGTGTTAATGGATGAAAATACATTTATTCTTCATTGGAACTTCCTACACTTGAAGTCTATTAACTAAAAATACATTAAATCTGTGAACAATCTGCATTAGTTTATTTATATCTCAACAATAATTAATGAATGAAAACCAAGGTAAAAAAGAGAAGCCTATAACTTATATCCTCGGTCTAGACAAGAAACAAGAAATGTACATGCATGGAAAGGAAACTACACTGCAAATTTGGTAAAAGAACAGAATAGAAATTACCTAAATTGGGCTCTGGAATGAATTTTGCAATTCTATATTTCTGCAAATGACTTTTGACATGGTAGATAGTCAAACCATCTGTATCCATCATCTTTAGTATAGCTTTTGGTGTTGCCTCTATAGTCAATCAGGAAACAAAGGACTATCAGATATTTAATATATGCATTGCCATTTGATAAATTTAGTTAAGTTTCTTACGCTCAGCGCCTCCAAGGCGATTCACACACTCAACAAACTTCTCATGAAGATCCTTGGTCCACCTTATACGTGTTTTACTTGATACCACTGCCCCATTAGTAGACACACTTCCGCCTGAAAGTGTTGGAGATAATTTCTCATTTGGAGAAGAGAATCTCATCTGTGCATTAGGTAAATTATAAGATCCACAACTAATCTGCATACAAATGCAATATTATAAGCCAATTGAATCTTCAAAGAATGGACACATCACACATGACAAAATCTACACATGGGGTTTGCAAAAGACAAAATACTTACCATATGGTCCTGATTTGATGAGCCCCTGATAACACCATGAATAAACAACTTTTGTTGTTCAATTGGAAGGATCTTGGAACTGGGAAAATTCCCACATGAAATTTTATTGGACTTTTCAGGAGATCTACTGCATTGATTACCACTATTCAATTGAGATTTCACAATGGATTGCAGAGTGTTTGACAAGTCAAAGTCGGGGTCAGGTTGGTTTGCTGAATCCAAGAAAAGGTTTTCCTTTGGAGATTGATACAAAGGAAACTCCAAATCATGAATCTTACATAACTGAGAACTCAAAGAGTGAACACCAATTTGGCTATCAAATTCGGCAAACCCCATGCAGTTTTCAGCAGCATAAAAGGCAGAAGCTGGTGAATCAAAACGGCTCATAATTGTGCCAGATGATTTAACAGAGCCTATGTTATTGTTTGGTAATTGTTCTGTTCCTCCTCCAACCATGGTAAATGATCCCATATTCCAAGGCTGTCTGATATCAAAATATTGACAATAACGATTACCAAACTCAGAATTCAAATCACCACTTAGTCCATGACTTTGTTGAATCAACCCTCCCCAATCAACCTTGTTCTCGTTCATTGGCACAATATTGAACAAAATTTGAAGTTGGATGGTACTATGCAGACTAATAGATATGCGTTGAAAATTGTGAGGTAGCATACATAATACTAAATTACTAATAACTCTTTGGAAGCATATCCTTACTAAGGAGCACCAAAATGGAAGGGGAAGGGAGAAGAAGATTGCAAAAGATAACAATAGTAATGCCAATTCGAGGCTACGGCATAAAATTCTCTTTTATATTCCCAAAAGGCTTCAGGTATAAGATTTGAATCTAATTGTCTAAATGCTACCGTGCAAGGTCATTAGCTATTAATTATTCTTGAAAAAGGATAAGAATGAACAATAATGAATTGACATGAACGAAGTAGAGTACATGGAAACAAACAAAAAGTTTTGTCTAAATGTTGTCTTCACGTGAATTTAACGAAATGCAAGAGAATCAGAAGAAAGAGGATAACCAAACATAGAAGGGACACAAATAAGAGGTTAGAAGAATTCCCCTAGAGGACAACTTCAACAACAAAGCTAAATGGGTCACTCATAAGAGGTTAAGAAAACGGTCCCAGAGTATTATTAAACACTAATTCTTAATATTGGGGAGAATATTGAGATGGCCTTATGGGCAACTGTAGTGTAGTAATTAAATGATAGATAAAGATACTGGAATAAATTCACATATAAATACATCTGCTATTATTCTTGTAATGATTCGGATGAAACAACTTTAACCACACACAGGGATGATAAATATATTATAAAAGAAAAAAAAAATCTTGTTCCGTTGCTAAGTGGGGTATCAGAAATTACCAGAAAAGTGCATCTAATTTTTATATTCATGATAAAAGCACAACGGAACTTTAACTACAAGAATCCAGTAGAAGTCAGTAACTTATAATGGGCTTTCCATTACATAAAGGTAAAAAGGATGAACAATGCTTTCATATGCCTCTCACTTCCGTGTTGCCACCGATTTTTCTTTAGAATATTTCTTGCCTCTTTTGTTTTTTATTTTATTTTATTTTCAATTTTATAGTCTAAAGAGACCAATGTCTTCAAGTTCTTTATCATATGTAGCCTTATTGAACCACATTAAAAATTCTTTTGTCGTTATTTCTTATATTAATTTTTTATACAGGTGTTTCTTTGCTGCTATTTATTTTTTTTAACTGAACGAGGCTTCACTTTCTTTTTCACTTTTAGATTGGTTAAAGATACAAAAATGTTGGTCATTGCAACCAGAATCTAAAGAAAACAAAATAAATGTACACAGAGGCAAAACTATTTAATGAGGCTTGTCAATGTGCTTACATCATGCACGTAGAGTGATCGTCTTCCTATTAGAGCATCTGCAGTGGGAATTGTTTAAACAACTCTTTGTGTTACATCATGTCATATCAACTCTTTTTTACTTTATGAGTTGCTTAAATTTTAACAAAATTGTTTATAAAAGTTCCGATACTAAAATTTAAGTAACCCATAAAATGAAAAAGAATTAATATGCTCTTAGGGTCTCAAACACTCACACACGTGCTAATTTCGTCCATGAAGTAGAGTGACACGCACACATATCCTTGAAGTAGAGCGATTGTCTTTCTATCAGAGTCACACTCTCGCTTATGTCCCCGAAGCAGAAAGTCACACCCCGAGAAAGAGATATACAAGATAATATTCATGTTTCTCCCCCTTAATAATGGATCGTATACATTAACTTTTAATAATTGAATGTTAAATTAAAAGAATTTATTAAATAGATTAAATGATAATTTTTTACAAAATTTAAAATTTATTCAATGATTTGTTACATAAATTAAAATTATCTTATAACACACTTTTTTATGAATATATATAAATTTAAATTTATATAATAAAATATCAAATAATTTTTAATTTAGAAGTTGCATTGTTGAAATTCAATATATAATTTTGAATTAAAATTAAATATGAATTATTGAGTGAAATGTTTTCACCTTCTCCCCCTTTCTAATTGGTGTTATTTTGTGGTAGTTTCGTGGCCAACATAAGCCAATTGATGCTATTTTGCAAAATGTTGTGATATAAAATAATTTTAACTTATAAAATAAAGTCAATTTATTTCATTTTTATTTTTGTATTAATATTTATATATAATTTTTTTTACTCACTCGAAAGAAAGGAACTCAAAGATATTGCTCGAAGAAAATAAAGAAGGAACTTCTAGATGTCTAGAGTAATGAGTTGAACTTGTTTGATTATGTCAAAAACTAAGGGTTAAGATAGTCATTGTCAGATTTTAGTTATTATTAAATAATTATACATGTGTATAGTCCATATTTATTAGTTGTTGAGATAATCTTTTTTAAATACTTGAATCGGTGATTGTATAGTGAATCATAAACACCTTACACAAATTTACTATGTATATCATTCTATCTATTCTCATTAATGACTTTTGATTTCGAGAATTATGTGTATATTTTCTATATCATTTTTCCTTTTCTTATAATATAATATGTTTTTATTTTTATTTCTTTTAGTTTTGTTTCAATTTTTTAACTTTCATGATATGATCCTTTTAATCGAGATATGAATTAATCCATTTGTCACTATTGAAGTTGACATAATTGAACAAACTTTTATAATAGTGATTAAATTATTTATAGAGATTACAATTCACTAATAAAATTTATTTATCAAAAAATATATATTTAAGTTGTAAACTAATAATGTATAAAAAGAATATACTTAAAAACAAAAAATTGATTTCGAAATTCATATTTAATTAGTTCTTATAGCTTTTCCTCAAAATAATCTTATAAACCCCTAATAACTAGTCATGGGTTTTAGTTCGAAAATTCCGGAATGGGTGATTCCGGTAGTGGATGAGGATAATGAAATTCATGCTATTAAGTATAAACTATTGTATTGTCTTGATCATAGCAAGATAATGATTTATTTTCTGGCAGCAACCCAGATGTCATTATCAGAAGTGGTACCGGTGGGAATCAAATTAATGGGCTTAGAGTTGAAGTTAAAGGGTGGAAAGAAAAATTCCTCAGTAAAAGTTCAGCCTTTTAAGCCCGACAAAGGAATAACCTACGTGGATTTAGAACCCTAAATCGAGTCACTAAGGTGGACAATCTCATAACATGTCCACTTTCACGTTCAAATTAACCTTTAGCTTACACGTATCTTCATGTGTGGACAATCTCGTAACATGTTCAGAGTGTTTATGGTCGCTAGTTGCTACATATTTAAGATTCTCTACGTGATTTGCTCTTTATAATGCATGCTTCGTAACACCATTCTGTTTAGTCATGGTCAAATAAGGGAATTGATTGAAGTATTTTGCTTCTAAACTTGTTTATCAGTTGCTTAATTAATCTCTAATTGGTTTATAAATTCCTATATAGAATTAATGTTTGAGACAAGGGTTGTGACTCTTGTTATAATTTTTTTAATATCCACGGGTTGGGATATTTCTTGTTTTTTTTTCTCAATGAATAATTTTAGACAAAGGTTGTGCATATCAATAAATAATTTCTCTTTAATTACTCCCGTAAGGTTCTAACTTCTAAAACCAATGTCTGTGGATCCATTTAAAGATTAATTACGTGTATATATAAATGAAACAGCTAGCATGTAAATAAATTGTGAAATGCAAAGTGCTAAAATGAAAATGTTTTAATACCACATGCATGCTGCTTTTCCGTGTGGTTCCATTTTTAGCTTATAATTAATTTGAATGATCTTGATTCCTTTTCATGCGAGTGAATAATTTAAATTATAAATAAGAAAATTGTCGATCAATATTATTGATATATTAAAATGATAACCATTGATTTCCTATCAATAATTAAAATTATTTACTTTATCTTTACTAATTTTAAGAAAATTTAAATCCAACATATAATATATATATATATATAATATAAATTATATAATATAATACAATAATAATACCTTGCTTTGGATACCAAGTCTAAAAACTACGCAGTATTACCGAATCTTCCCATATATAATTAATTCACATTGGCTGGTTTAAACTTTAAACTAATAACTAATACACATAGACATGCATGCTTCTTTTCCTTTTCGTTTTATTATATTTATATTTCTAAATGATATGCCTTGATTTGAATATATTTCTAATCAAAGCTCCCGGCAACAACAGATCAAGAGAGAGCAAAAATAGTTAAAAGAGCACCAAACAACTTGACTTGAAATTATTATTTTTTTCATTTGTTTATATAATAATATTTTTTATTTTTAATAATTAAAAGGAAACACAAGAATGATTGTAGATGTGGAGGTTCGATATAGTTGCTATCAATTATTTTCTTCGTTATTCTAGTCAAAAGAATATTATATAGGAGAAACAGTTTAATTCCATTTTCCACATATGGTAAGCAATGATGCAGCAATATAGCTGACTCAATATCAAATTAATTACTACTGATTGGATAAACTCATTCAAAAGCGTTATTTAAAAAAAAATTATAAATTAACTTGTGCATATATAAACTAGTTTAAATTTGTGAAGACTAGTGAAAAATCAGTCTTTTATGTCATCTCTTTGTTGTCACACATATAAAAAAAGTGACGTAAAAAAGACGTGGTGATAATTTTGTAAATAAGTTAAACTATTTTATGTCGGACTACATAAGATCCGACATAAAATTGAAATCTACGTCGGATAGAAGCTACAACCGACATAGATTTGAAATTTTAGGTCGGATCCCTATTTAGTCCGACGTAAAAATCGTTTTATATCCCTAGTCGCCCCTTCGTCTTCCTCGCGCACACGATCTAGGTTAATCTGAAAAGTGTTTGGGCGATTTCCGACGAAGGTGAGAACGAGTTCTGGTTGCGTTTTGAGCTCCGGCGACTTCCGGTGAAGGGAGGCTCGTCATTGGTGGGTTATTCTCCATCTTTTTGACCGATTGGAATTTGGTGAAGGGCATTTATGAGTTTTTGGAGAAGGTGAGTTGCTATTTATGAATTTTGAGCCTTTCGTTACTATTTTTCTGAGTTTTCTGACCTAGGTTAATCTTCTGAGTTTTGTTAGGGGAGGCTTTGGCGTCGTGGTAGATGCTGAGATTTGTGAGGTCGAGAATGGTGACGGAGAGCGGTTGGGCAATACGTGAGGTTGTTTCATGCGCGTAGAGGGCTAGGAGGATGACCTCAAAGCCGGCCTAAGGCTTCTGGTTGGCGATGCGGGAGAGGTAGACGCCACCAATGACGAGGAAGATGTTTTACGCCGGACATGGTAGATCCGACGTAAATTTACGTCTCCCACATTAACGTCAAACTTATTTACGATGTAAAAACCTCAAAATAGCCGACGTAAAATATCACTTTTGCACTAAGTTTTTCATATAAGTATTTTTGAAAAATTTTATCCCAACAAATCCACCTATGCATCTACGTGGTATCCACCTGACATCCACGTGGCCAACAGTTGACTCCGTTTAAATCATTTGGACGGAAGTCCCAAATTACAATAATTTAAATTATTGGAGACCAAATTGAAACCAAAAATTAAAGTGAGTGGGGTAGTAAGGGTGTCATATTTAGTGGTATCAGAGCAGGTCGATCCAATCAGTCGTGAGTTATGAGTCTACTATG